CCGACGCAAAACGGCTCTGTCGGGGACGGGGGGTGGTGTACCCAAGCTCCCAAAATGGCTATTTTCCAAATGAAATCTCTTATTGGGGAGCTCGTTTTTCGCGGCTGGGCCCTCCCGCGCAGCGTCGGGAGGGAGGTTCCAAATGGATTGTCACCCCGGAACCGTTCCCGGGTGAAAATCCATCTGGAACCCCTACCCGACGCAAAACGGCTCTGTCGGGGATGAGGGGGGGGTGTACCCGAGCTCCCAGAATGGCAATTTTCCAAATGAAATCTCTTATTGGGGAGCTTGTTTTTCGCGGCTGGGCCCTCCCGCGCAGCGTCGAAGCCCTCACTGGGCTCCTTGCAGAAGCCCTCACTGGGCTCCTTGCAGAAGTCTTCACTGGGCTCCTTGCAGAATGGGTCCACCTGCAGCCCTCGAAACTGGCGGCAGTATCGCAGATCGCCGCCACCCAGGGATGGCGAAGTCTACCTCATGTCCGCGCGGAGCCTCGCTCCGCTGGACCCACAAGCCGCCTTTGAAAGGGGCGACACTTTCGCAGATCGCAACCACCCAGTGACGGCGAGGTCTACCTCGGGTCCGCGCGGTGCCTCCCTCCGCTGGACCCACACTGGACTCCTTACAGAAGCTCTGATTGGTACACCCCCCCCCCATCCCCGACAGAGCCGTTTTGCGTCGGGAGGGGGTTCCAGATGGATTTTCACCCTGGAACGGTTCCGGGGTGACAATCCATCTGGAACCTTTCGACGCTGCGCGGGAGGACCCAGCCGCGAAAAACAAGCTCCCCAATAAGAGATCTCATTTGGAAAATTGCCATTTTGGGAGCTCGGGTACACCCCCTCCATCCCCGACAGAGCCGTTTTGCGTCGGGAAGGGGTTCCAGATGGATTTTCACCCTGGAACGGTTCCGGGGTGAAAATCCATCTGGGACCTCGTAAGGAGCCCAGTGAGGGCTTCTGTAAGGAGCTTCTGTCAGGAGCCCACTAAGGGCTTCAATAAGGAGCCCTCCAAGGGCTTCTGGAAAGAGCCCACTAAGGGCTTCTGAAGTAGCCCCACAAGGGCTTTTTACAGGGGCCCAGGAAGGAGCTGAGAGAAGCCTTCTGGGAGGAGCTCAAAATGGGTCCAGATGGGTTTTCACCCCGGAACGGTTCCAGGGTGATTCCGGAACCTGAAACGGTCAGTGTCAAGCTTCCAGAATCACCCCGGAACGGTTCCAGGTGATTCCGGAACCTGAAACGGAGGATTTTGCCCCACCTTGGGCTGCCTGTGGTCATCGTTGCTGCGTCCCCGCCGTCGGCGCTGCTGGCGGCCGCCGGCGCCGGCGCCAGGGCGGGGGGGGTTCAACACCTCCCCCCCTGGGAGGGGGGCGGGTTCGGGAGGGGGGGGGTTTGGGGGGGAGGGGAGTCCCCCCGGTTTTGATCGACGGCGCCGAGAGTTGGGGGGGGCCCACCTCACATGTCGAAACGCGCCGCCGATGTTCCCAAGGCAAGCACCCGTGAAATGCGTTCTCTTGGACGTCGGAACCTCGAAATGGCAAGAACCCGGAAATCATTGAACACGCAACGGGCGATCAGTGGGGCTCTGCCGTCTTGAAGCCGTCTTGGACCCTCTTGAAGCCAAAGTGGCTCGTCTTGGAGCGAAATTGCGGTAGACCGCACAGGAGCACGGCAGAGTTCACATGAGCGCTGCACGTCATAGATGCCGCAGGAGCGCGGCAAATTACACAGGGACACGGCAGACTACACAGGAACACGGCAGACCATGGCAGGAACGCTGCAGATCATAGAGGCACGGCAGAGTACAGGAACACAGCAGACCATAGGATCACGGCAGAGCAAAGGAGCATGGCAGACACCGCAGGAGCACGGCAGAAGCATGGCAGACCACAGGAGCACGGCAGACCACAAAAGCACGTTAGTTGGCGCAGGAGTGCGGCAGACCATGCAGCAGCACGGCAGACCACAGGAGCACAGCAAAACACGTCACTTGAAGCACGGCAGACCACAGGAACACTGCACACCACACACGAACACGGCAGACTTCGGGGGCACGTCAGACCACAGGTGGCTGCCCGCCCAGCACGCAACCCGCACGCACACCGTACTCCCCCCCCGCCCGCCCGCCCAGCACACACCAGGCACGTACATGTAGCAAACCACGGCAGCACCGGAAACCATCGCGGCACACCACATGAACACGGCAGACAAACGCTGTAGTAGACCACGGAAGCACGGCAGACCAACGCGACAGACCACAGCAACGCAGCAAACCGGCGCGTCAGACCACAGCAGCACGGCCGACCAACACAGCAGAACAGCGCGGCAGGCCAACGCACTGATCCGATGGAATTTGTGTTGGTCCTTTGCGATACGTTTCTGAGTTTCCTTGACGTTCTCAACCCGACGTTGTCTGACAAGCTTCGTGGACAAAGTTGCGCTTCCCGTTCTTGTCCGGTCAGGTTTCCGAAACAATTGCCGTTTCGAGCCCAAGATGGCCCAGCATGCCTCCAATACGGCGACAGATCACCCCAAGCAGCCCCTAGACGGCACAACAGAGACCCAAGAACGCCCCAAGACGGCCCAAGAGCATTCCAAGACGGCCCAAGCAGCTTTCGCGATGCCCAAGAGAGCCTCAAGAGCCCTCCCAAGAGGATCCCGGGAGGCAACAATGAGTTCCCGACGTCCCAAGACGGTCCAAGAGGCTCCCAAGATTGCCCCAAGATGGCCAACGAGGCCCGCAAGAGGGCCCCCAGACGGCCCTGGAGGGCACCACGACGGCCCAAGAGGCGCCCAAGACGGCCCAAGAGGGCCCCAAGACGGCCCCAAAAAAGGCCAAAGAGGGGGAACACGAATCGACGATTCGAGGAGGCCTCAATAGGCCCAAAAGAGGCCCCCAACCGGCCCCCAAATGACCTCCGAGAGGCCCGAAAGAGGCCCCAAGACGCTCCCAAACGCTCCCTACGAGGCTGGCTTGCGTTCTTTCAGGCTTTCTGAATAATTGCCGTTTCTCTCCAGACATCCTCAGAAACAATCGGCTCCAGATGGGTCTCCAAACCAACGTCGTCTTGGACTCGCTCCCGTAGGGCTTCAAGAGACCCCCAAGAGGCCCCCCAAAGCCGCTCACAAGCCCACAAGGGCCGCCCAGAGGCCCTCAAAAGTGCCCGACGGCCCCAAGACGGCCCAAGACAGCCCAAGATGCCGCCAAGATGGCCTGAGAGATCCCTCACAGAACCCCAAGACATGCCCAGACAGCCCAACAAGACCCCAGTAGCCCCGAAGAGGACCCCGACAAGCCCCCAAGAGGGCCCCAGGATGCCCCAAGATAGCTCCAGACGGCCTCAACAGCCGCCCACAGGGTAGCATCAAAAGGTCACGAGGACCCCTCTCTGCTTCGACGCCCTTTTCGTCGGGCTCCTTATCGTTCGTCTTCGTCGTCGTCGTTCTCCTTCTTATTCTGCTGATTATTATGCGTAAGGGCTTCGCCCAATGCCGCCGGCCCAATGTCTCGGATAATGGGAGATGCAAAAGCTAAATCATGAGGTCTGGGCGCCGCCGTGAAGCAGTGTCGAGACCTGTTTGTTTTTCGACCCTGGCCCTACGGATCTGCGTGAGGGGTGCCACCGAATTTCAGAAATATGGCAAATCCCATGAGTTGTTGGACCCTGACCCTACGGATCTGCATGAGGGGTGCCGCCGAATTTCAGACATGTGGCAAATCCCGTGTGTTTTTGGACCCTGACCCTGTCGATCCGCGTGAGGGGTGCCACCGAATTTCAGAAATGTTGAACATCCCCTTGGTTTTCGGACCCTGACCCCGCCGATCTGCGTGAGGGGTGTCATTGAATTTCAGAAATGTGGCAACTCCCATGTGTTTTTGGACCCTGACCCCGCCGATCCGCGTGAGAGGTGTTAATTTTTACCCACCCCAGCAATTCAGAGCACACGCTCAGGGCGTGCTAAATCTGCCCATTTGGCCCTCCCCCCCTCGCGCGGTCCATCAACAAGGAAAAGTAAGCAGCAAGAAGCAGAACTGTAACAGTGGAAACTGGAAGCTGGCGATGACGACGACGACGACGACGACGACGACGACGACGACGACGACGACGACGACGACACCGACACCGACGACGACGACGACGACGACGACGACGACGACGACGACGACGACGACGACACCGACGACGACGACGACGACAACGACGACGACGACAACGACGACGACGTCGACGGCACCACCAGCGGCGGCGGCGACGACGTCGAGCACCGGAGCTGTCAACATGACGCCAATCCCAGCCACACGCCGCACCCACACCGCACCCACAGGGGGGGAGGGAGGGGGGGAGGAGGACCATGGCGTCACCCCGCACACACCCACAGCAACACACCACACCCACACCACATCCACAGGGGGGGGGGGAGCCACCACGCCACGCGCACGCCCACAGGGGGGGGGGGAATCGCGCGAGGGGGGGGGCCCGATGGCATTAGCATTGGGGAGGGGGGCCAAGGCCTCAACTATATATATATATATATATATATATATGTATAGGGACCTGTGTGTATATCCCCACCTTTGTGGGTGAGTCGGCCAGTGGGATAGGGCTCGACGTATCGAAGGTTCCCTCGCGCGCTGAGCTCATATTTATATATATATATATATATATATATATATGTTGATGCAGTTCGATTCGCTTCCAGGGCTGGGGGGGGCAGCTGGCAAATTGTCTGCACCAGTTCAAAGCGTCCGAGGGACATCGGCGAGGACGGAGTGGCTTCCGATTATGTTGCTGCCGATCTTATTGGGGATTGGGGATATGAAGACAGTCGATGAGGTTGATCATGTGGAGGAGGAAGCAGGCAAGGAGAAGACAGACGATGAGGGAATGAGTTGGAAGCGGACTATCAGATAGTAGCATGAGGTCTACGAGAAGGATGACGAGCAATATTGAGAGCAGAATGACGGGCAAAATGAAGCGCAGGAGGGAGGGTAGAACCCCGCAGGACCGGTTCTCCCAGGCCCGGGCCGTGGACCAGCTGGAGGCGGCTCTTCAGGACGCCTGGGAGGATGGTGGCAACGTTGCAAGGGCGCCCTCGAGGGCGCGAAGTTATTCTCGCTTCGCGCTTCGCGGTTCGGCTCGGATTGCTTCTCAGCCTCCTCTTCTCCCCTGGGAGGCGGCGCGAGAGCGCGGAGTTGTTCGCACTTCGCGCTTCGCGCAGCGCGAAGCGCGAATTTGGGAGCCCCTGGCGAGCGTCGGAGGTCTTCGGGGCCCTCGGATGCGGGCGTTGGCAATGGTCTCAGATTGGGCGTTCTCGCCCAGCCTCGGGCCCCCCAGGACCATCACGTGCCGCTCCCGCGCGAGAAGTGCTGCCGAACGACGGGGGCGGTCCAGGGCTCCAGTGATGCTCTTCTCGCGATGCTGTTTTTTTTTTGCGGCGTCGGATCTCAGGGCTCACCCCGTCGCAGCCTGTGGCGGCTCTCCGCGCCCCGCCGGTGCCGCATTGCTCGGCCTCGGTGCACGAGCACACGTTGGCGCCAGCACACGTTCTGAGGATCATCTGACGTAGTGTGGAAGACCCGGGACATCCACGAACTGCTGGGTTGATGGGCGCAGGCTCAACAACGCTCGCAGGAACGATTCTCGCTCTTATATTCCTCCTGCATTCCTGCGCCTCCCGTTCAGCTTGCCCGTTACACTGCGCTCCTCCAAACGCGAGGCGTTTGTGCATGGAGGGGTTGAGGGAGGAGGGCTGGAGTCCAATGGGGAGGAGAAGGAGGAGCAGGCGGAGGAGGAAGGGGATGAGGATGAGCAGGAGCACGAGGGGGTGGGAGGACGAGAGGGAGGGAGCTCCCACACGAAGCACTTGCCGATGGTCCTTTTTCCACGGCGCCTTCGGGGTCTCTTGAGGGGCCCCGTGCTTTTTGTTGTTGTTGTTGGTGGGTCCTGGGGCCGTCGGGGAGGTCCCAGATGCCGCCTCGAGGGGGGCGCCCGGCCCGTCTCTGCAGGGGTGCCTGCCCGAGGGCCGTCCAGGATGCCACGTCGACGAGGACTGCACAGCCCCCCCCCCCAGCCAGGGGCCGCGCCAGGGGGCGATGGGCTCGGGGGGGGGGGATCAGGCTCGAGGGTCGAGGTTCGAGGATCTGGGATCGCTATCTGAGCTCTCTGGAGGTTTTGATCGTCCTGGGGCGCCCTCGTGGGCACGGCTGGGTCCGCCTCGAACTTCTGGGCAGAGCGCACCCCAGGAGAGATGCAGGGATCGGCTTTTGACACCTGATTCGGGTTCGAGGTTGTCGGGCGTTCCCGGCGGCTCTCCAGCCTCGGGATGCGTTCTAGCAGCCGCGCCTCGCCGCGGGCGTCCTCGGGGGTGCCCAGCTCGTCCCGAACGGCCGCCAGAGAGCCGAGTCATGGCCCGAAGCCCACGAAGAGTCGAGGCCATCCCAACGGCGTGGTGACCACACCGCGTGGGACTCGGGTTCTCCGAGGACGTCTCGAGGTTCGAGGTTCGAGGTTTTCGGGCGTTCTCCCCTGATTAGGGTTCGACTCCAGCTCGATGCTTCCACCCCTGAGTCGGCCCCCCCTGCTTCCTAAGTGAGGACGGCAAAACCCCCCCCCACCCCCAGCCAAGACCCCCACTTCTGACCTGGTGCGTGATCCAGGGGTCCTGGCTGAGGACGAGGGTGTCTTCTTGCACCCCAGAACCTCAAGCTCACCGCCCACCAAACCACCCCAACCCAACCCGAAGGCACCGATTTGCCCTCAATTTCCAGTGTGGGGGGGGGGTCGGGGAACATTGAGAAAACACGTGTGGAACCCGTTCCCCCCCAACCCGAAATTCGGGTCTTCGGGTTAGGTTGGGGTGCTTTGGTGGGCAGTCAAGCACTGTCCCCAACTCTAGCCAGGGCCCCCTGGATCACCCGGTCGGGAGTGGGGGCCTTGGCTGGGGGTTGGGGGTGGTTTGTGCTGTCCATAGCTGACACCCCCTGGGGTCGACAGCGCAGCAGCACTGAACACCAGCAACAGCAGCAGCAGCAACGACAACGCCAACACCACCACCAGCAACAACACCAGCAACAACAACAACAGCAATCACACCACCACCACCATCAATAAACAACAACACTCATTTTAAGACTGTTCGCTCTTATCATCTCGCGTGCCATTTATCACATATCTCAAACCCTCGATACCCTCCCTCTTCGTCTTCGATCGTACCCCCTTGGGAGTCTATCATTCTTACCTGCAGCGTGTATTTCGTGTAGCCCCTGAGGCAGGGGAAGAGAGGACGGATGGAAGGAAGGGACAAGGGGGGACGGAGGAGGATTGAGCACGAGAGAGAGAGAGAGAGAGTAATTAGCAGGAGGGGGGCTATGAGCAGAAAATACGTGGCAGATCGGGCGGGCAGGCCCTAACTGGCGGGTCGGGGAGGCGGACCCAGGCGGCCAGGTCGAGCAGGCGGGTTGCTGAAGCGTGCGTCGTTCATGCATCGCGAGGAAGTCTCGAGCGACAGCGCGATTCCCAAATACATCGTGAGGACATCAACAGCGAGAGCGTGGTTGCGAGGAAAGCCCACGCAAGAGCGCGATAGCTGCATACCTTTATGAGGCAGTCTCGCGCGAGAGCGCGATGCGGGAATAGATTGTGAGGACGCATCAGGCGGGAGCCGTTGTAGTTGCAAGCCAGGAGCCAGGGGCGCAGTTTGGTGGCACTTCGCTTTCCCCGGTTAAACACGCAAGATGCGAGCCCCAGGAGAAGCGTTTCAAGTGAACAGTGCACTGGTTACCGGGTAGGGGGATCAACAACACATATTCTTTAGAATTGAGAATTCAACAACACCATCACTAACAATAAAACACCAACACACACAACAACAACACCACCACCAATAACACCACCACCACCATCACACCAACACCATCAACAACACCACCAACAACAAAGCACCAACACCAACACCAACAACACCAGCAATAACACCACCACCAACAACGCCAACACCAGCAACACCACCACCACTACCATCAACGACAACACAGGCAGCAACAACAGCATCAACAGCACCATCATCATCATTAACAACAACACACACTTACAACAGCAACAATCATTCTACGGCTGCTCGCTCTTTTCTGCTCGCGTGCCATATGGCATGTATAATCATCCCAAACCTTCGCTACCCACCGCCTTCGCCTTCGATCGTATCTCCTTGGGGTACATATCTTTCTTGCCCGCAGCGTGTATTTCGTGCTGCCTTTGAGGCAGGGGAGGAGAGGACGGATGGAAGGAAAGGACAAGGAGGAAGGAGGAGGATGAAACACGAGAGAGAGAGAGTAGCAGGAGAGGGGCTAGGAGCAGAAAACACGTGACAGAACTAGACGGGCAGATCGGGCGGATAGGCCCTAACGGGCGGGTCAGGAAGGCGGGCCTAGACGGCCAGGTCGAGCAGGCGGGTTGCTGAAGCGTGCGTCTTGTATGAATCCTGAGGGAGTCTCGAGCGATAACGCGATTCCCAAATACATCGTGAGGACATCCATAGCGAGAGCGTGTTTCCTGAATGTCGAGAACGCGGCGTCTGAATACATTGCGAGGAAGTCCCACGCGAGACCGCCATATCTGCATTCTTTCTGATGAAGTCCCGCGCGAGAGCGCAATTTGGGAATACATTTTGAGGAAGTATCAGGCGGGAGCCGTTGTTGCTGTAAACCGGAGCCAGGGGCGCAGTTTGGTGTCACTTCGCTTTTCCTTGTTAGAAACAGGGTGCGAGCCCCGGCACTTCAATTGAAAAACACAATGTGCTCCGTTTGGGGGGATCAACAGCAATTATTCTGTAGAGGTGGGAATTCTATGAGAGCAATAGCAGCAGCACCAGTATCAACAACGGCAGCAGCAAATACAACAACGACCACAGCGACAGAAGCAGAAACGTTCGGAGGTCCGCGCGTATGTTCTTGGACCTGCGCGGGGCCCCCCTCCCCTGGCCCTGGGCTGCAGAACAGCTCTCTCAGTCTCTCGGGCCCCCCTGCTTCGAGCAGGCCTGTGGGAGCGTGCGCTGTCACAGCCCGCACCTGGCCGAATTTCGGGCCACCGTGGCCCGGCGCAGCACTTCTGCATGCCCTCCGTCCCCCTCCCGCAGCATCCCATTCTCGTGCCTTCTCCTCCCCTCCCCTTCTCCTCCCCTTCTCCCCTCCCTTCTCCCCTCGTGTTCTCCTCGCTTCTCCTCCCTCCTTCTCTTCTCCCTTCCCCCCTCCTTCCCTTCTCCCTCTTCTCCTCCCTCTTGCCTTCCTGAAGCGAGGTTCGTGCCTCGGTTTCTCGCTCGGTCGCTGTCTCTCCGCCGTCGTGTCTTTCCTCTGGCCCCCGCCCGGTCGCCTTCTCTCGGGTCCTCGTCCGGCCTGGTTGCTGCTTGGGTTGTTAGCGCTCGACTCTCACCCACGTCCAGAAGAAAAACAAGACGAGGAAGAGGCACCCATACCTTTACCCTTGCCTCGTCGCTGGGCCTCTGGGGAGCTCCTCGTGGCAACCGCTGGATTCGCCTCGAACTCCTTGTCAGAACGCACCCTGGGCGAGGCACGGGGAGCAGCGGTATCGGTACTCCGGGTTTCTTAATAAGCGTTGGGGGGGCTGCGCCCCCGCCGACAGCCACGCATCGACCCCCCCCGTCGCGGGCAGCCACCGCGCGCCGAAGGCGCTCCGGCCCCCGTCGCGGCGCGACGACGAGTCGAGGCTGACCCCGTCGGGGAGTACCCCGCCACGCTTATTAAGAAACCCAGAGTACCTTTTGGTTCCCCCATTCCTGAAGCGAGGACAGCATCTGCCGAGGGCACTCGAGGGAGGCGATCGCGGAGGCGTTCGTGAAGACGATCTCCTCCGGCAGGCTGCAGGAGCGATCCGGGAGTGGCACGGGGTGGTTATGATGACAGGGATGATGATGATGCTGCTGCTGATGATGATAATGCTGATGCTGATGTTGATGCTAATGCTGATGATGATGACGATGCTGTTGCTGATGATGCTAAGGATGATACTGATGAACATGATGAAGTTGATGATGATAATGAATATGCAGATGAAGCTGATGATGGTGATGACGATGATGCGGCTGCTGCTGCTGCTGCTGCTGCTGATGATGATGATGATGATGATGAGGATGATGATGCTGATGATGATGATGATGATGATGATGATGATGATGATGATGATGATGATGATGATGATGATGATGATGATGATGACGGCGTAGATGTTTTTCGCCCGGGTTGGTTTTCGCCCGGTGCGTTTCGCCCAGTTCGTTTCGCCCGGGTTTGCTTTCGCCTGGTTGGTTTTCGCCTGGGTTGGCTTTCGCCTGGGTTGGTTTTCGCCCGGGTTGGCTTTCGCCCGGGTTGGCTTTCGCCCGGGTTGGCTTTCGCCCGGGTTGGTTTTCGCCCGGTTGGCTTTCGCCCTGTTGGCTTTCGCCCGGGTTGGCTGTCGCCTGGGCTCGTTTTTTGCTTGGGCTCGTTTTCGCCCTCCTCTTCCTCTTCTCCTCTTCCCGCTCCTGTTCTTTTGCTGCTGCTGCTGCTCCTCTCCCTCCCCTCTTCCTCTGGCTTCTCTTGCCCGCGGCTGGTTGGCTGGAGCCCGACCCAACCAACCCGTTAGGGTCCGCCCGCCCCGCCCCGCCCGTTAGGGTCCGCCCGCCCGATCGGACCCGCACGCTAGGGTTCGCGCGTGCGCACTCGAGCGCGCCCCCACACTATAGTGTCCGACCCGACCCGACCCGTCCCGCCCGTTAGGGTCCGCCCGAACCCGACCCGATCCGTCCCGCCCGTTAGGGTTTGCCCGACCCGACCCGAACCGCTTGTTGAAGTTCGCGCGTGCTCGTTCTAGCGCGCCCAACCGCCCGCCCGACCCGACCCGGCCGCCCGTTACGGTCCGCCCGGCCCGGCCCGACCCGTCCCGCCCGTTAGGGTGCGCCCGCCCCACCCGACCCGCCCGTTAGGTTTCACGCGTGCTCACTCGAGCGTGCCTCCACACTTTAGTGTCCCGCTTGCCCGACCCGACCCGCCCGTTCGGGTTTGCTCGACCCGACCCGATCCGCCCCGCCCGTTAGGGTCCGCCCGACCCGACCCGCCCGTTAGGGCTCACGCGTGCTCACTCGAGCGCGCCCCACACTTTAGTGTTTTGCCTGCCCGACCCGACCCGCCCGTTAGGGTCCGCCCGACCCGACCCGACCCGTCCCGCCCATCAGGGTCCGCCTGCCCCACCCGACCCGCCCGTTAGGTTTCACGCGTGCTCACTCGAGCGCGCCTCCACACTTTAGTGTCCCGCCCGCCCGACCCGACCGGCCCGTTAGGGTCCGCCCGACCCGACCCGCCCCGTCCTGTTGGGGTCCGCCCGTCCCGACCCGACCCGTCCCCCGTCAAGGTCCGCCCGCCCGACCCGACCCGCGTTAGGGTCCGCCCGGCCCGACCCGACCCGACCCGTCCGTTAGGGTCCGCCCCCCGACCCGACCATTCTCGCCCGTCAGGGTCCCCCGCCCGACCCGACCCGCCCGTTAGGTTTCACGCGTGCTCACTCGAGCGTACCTCCACACTTTAGTGTCCCGCCTGCCCGACCCGACCCGCCCGTTCGGTTTGCTCGACCCGACCCGATCCGCCCCGCCCGTTAGGGTCCGCCCGACCCGACCCGCCCGTTAGGGCTCACGCGTGCTCACTCGAGCGCGCCCCACACTTTAGTGTCCCGCCCGCCCGACCCGACCCGCCCGTTAGGGTCCGCCCGACCCGACCCGACCCGCCCCGCCCGTCAGGGTCCGCTCGCCCGGCCAGACCCGCGTGTTAGGGTCCGCTCGACCCGTCCCGCCCGTTAGGGTCCGCCCGCCCGATCGGACCCGCACGCTAGGGCTCACGCGTGCTCACTCGAGCGCGCCCCGCAGTTTTTGGTGTCCCGCCCGACCGGCCCGTTAGGGTCCGCCCCACCCGACCACCCGCCCCGCCCATCAGGATCCGCCCGCCCGAACCGACCCGCCCGTGAGGGTTTACGCGTGTTCACTCGAGGGCGCCTCCACACTTTAGTGTTTTGCCTGCCCGACCCGACCCGCCCGTTCGGGTTTGCTCGACCCGACCCGATCCGCCCCGCCCGTTAGGATCTGCCCGACCCGACCTGACCCGCCCGTTAGGGTTCACGCGTGCTCACTCGAGCGTACCCCCACACTTTAGTGTCCCGCCCGCTCGACCCGACCCGCCCGTTAGGGTCCGCCCGACCCGACCCGACCCGCCCCGCCCGTTAGGGTCCGCTCGCCCGACCAGACCCGCGTGTTAGGGTCCGCCCGACCGCGCCCGACCCGTCCCGCCCGTTAGGGTCCGCCCGCCCGACCCGACCCTCCTTGTAGGGTCCGCCTGGCGGGTTTCTGTGCTCGGCGCTGCCCGCTGCCCGTCCGTGCGCTGCCCGCTGCCCGCCCTTCAACAAGGGTCTCGAGCCTCTTCCTTCCTCGCGGCGCCCCCGCCCCCTCACCTACTCCTGCACGGCGACTTCCGGCCCTGACCTCCGACCCCTGGATTTGTTTACGCCGACGGCTCCCTGGGGTCCGCAGTCGTTCCCAAGGACATACTTTTATCCTGGCGCGTCCAGGGCGTCATGGCCTCCCTGAGGCCGACCCCGGCCCAAAAAACTTACCATTTTGCTTTTCCCGGGCGTCGGAAGTCTCGGGCCAACGCCCCCACCAGCTGCGACCGCCACCACGACCGCCAGCCGCTTCTGGAAGCGGCCCGACACAAGAAATTGCTAAGAGGGACAGGAGACATCGATACCCCATTACCCATTCATCGCCTGCCCCTGAGCCTGCCCCGCCTGCTCCCCGCCCGGCCCCGGCGAAAGCAAACCCCGGCGAAAGCCAACCCCGGCGAAAGCCAACCCCGGCGAAAGCCAACCCGGCGAAAGCCAACCCGGCGAAAGCCAACCCCGGCGAAAGCCACCCCCCCGCGAGAGCCAACCCCGGCGAAAACCAACCCCGGCGAAAGCCAACCCCGGCGAAACGAAGCCCGGTGAAACGAAGCCCGGCGAAACGAAGCCCGGCGAAAGCCAACCCCGGCGAAAGACATCCGTGCGGATGATGACGATGCTGCTGATGATGATGATGACGATGATGATGATGATGATGATGATGATGATGATGATGATGATGATGATGATGATGATGATGATGATGATGATGATGATGATGATGATGATGATGATGATGATGCTGATGCTGATGCTGATGCTGATGCTGATGCTGATGCTGCTGCTGATGATGATGATGATGATGATGAGGAGGAGGAGGATGATGATGAGGAGGATGAGGATGAGTAGGAGGATGAGGATGAGGATGAGGAGGAGCAGGAGGAGGAGGAGGAAGCGTTGGCGGAGGCGGAGGGGGGGAAAAGAAGGAATGAAGAAGTAGTCTAGGATGAGGTGCATGATTGAGACAAAGAGAACTGAGAATTAATGTTCTTGAGGAGTGAGGAGGATGGCCAGGAGGAGGAGGAAGAGGAGATTGAGGAGGAGAAGGAGAAGGAGAAGGAGGAGGAGGAGGAGGAGGAGGAGGAGGAGGAGGAGGAGCCAGAGGAGGAGCAGGGGTATGCGGAGCGGGGAAGAGGCCTGGGACGAGTAGGAGGCAGAGGACAGTAGGATGAGGGTGGGAGGGGGTGAGGAGGATTTTCGGAGAGGGTGAGGGTGGGGGAGGATGTGGAGGATTTGGAAGGTGGAGGAGGGATGGTGCAGAAAGGACGACGTATACGTGGACAGAGTTGGGAAGAGGACAGAGCGGAGAGGCGAATGAAAGAGGAGATTGGATGCAGTATTGTCGGTTGGGGATCGCAGAGGGAGAAGCAAGGACGGAGGGGGAAGGAGGAGAAGAAACGTCTGTGGATGCGGAGGCGTAGTTCAGGACGGAAAGGAGGAATCCGTGCAGGTTGAACCGTTGCAGGATGTGGAGGGAACCATGTTAATTATGATCAATGTGATTGTGGTGGTGATGAGGAGTATTGGTAGTGATCATGGTGATGATCACGATTATGCTGATGATGACGAGGGGGTGGAGAAGGAGGTTCGACTAGAAAAAAACAAGGATGACGGTGATGATGGTGATGATTCTGCTGATGCTGATGCTGATGATGCTGATGATGATGATGATGAGGATGCTGATGATGATGATGATGATGGTGGTGGTGATGATGATGATGATGTCGCTGTTGCGGACGATGTTGATGATGCTGATGGTGATGTTGACGTTGATGATAGAGATTAGACGGCATATGATGATTCTGATGATTCTGTTGATGCTGCTGATGATGATGATGCTGATGATGATGTTGCTGATGCGGACAATTTTGATGATGCTGATGGTGATGCCGATGGTAATGATAGTGATTAGACGGCAGATGATGATTATTATGCTGATACTGCTGATGATGATGATGACGACGACAACGACGATTGCGATGATTTAGCCGAAGTTGATGTGCTTGATGGTGATGTTGATGATGATGTCTAGGATGATTTTGTTGGTGATGCCGATGACGATGCTTATGATGCTTCTGATGATTTCGGATGGTGATGGCGGTGATAGTGATGTTGATGGTGATCTTTGATGTTGACGATATTGGTGATGATGATGATGATGATGATGATGATGATGATGATGATGATGATGATGATGATGATGATGTGGTTATGATGATGATTCTGATGATGACGATGACGATTCTGCTGCTGCTGATGACGACGACGATGACGATGACGATGATGATGCTGATGATGATGATGACGATGATGATGAGAATAATGACGATGCTGATGCTTATGATGATAATGATGATACTGCTGCTGATGATGGTGATGATGCTGATGCTGCTGCTGATGATGACGATGA